AAACTAATGATAATACAAAAGAAAATATTCAAGTTCCAAACGATAGTTTTGAAAAGAACTTTAACAAACATTATGCAAAGTGTGATTGCTAATACTAAAACGAAGTAACTTTTTAAGTGAAGCATAAAAATGTTAAAAAAAAACGAAAATTCAATGTCGTTCGCGCCCACTGCGTAAGGAGCCGACCGCACTGCCCCTCTATCGTCGAATTAGTTACTCGATGCGGCGTGGCCGGCATGTATTTTTTATTTTAATTTCATGATATCTTTTAAATGGAATGTCCGATTTCAACAATTAAAAAAGCAATCATCAGGTATTGAGACAGTTTTGAATGTGAAATGATTTATTTGGATAAAAATGTATAAATGGTATGGATCACACGGTCTGTTTTTGTTCGGCATTTCTATCAATTTGTTAAATGTAAAAAAGTAGTAATAGTGACGTAACTACAACAATTAGACATATAGTTTTGGGATGTTTTTTGTAGATATATTATATAATATTGTCGAACTTTTTTTTTGTCCTATCATTAATACTTTTCGCAGTGTATGCGAAGAAAGACATTTTACGGCTAATTTTTTTACGCCTTCCGTTGGTTTAAGTAAGGATTTCTATAGCTGCCTATAGTAATCAAGTATGTACTAAATATAGCCTATGTTACTCAGTAATAATGTACCTTTCTAATGAAAAATTATTAAAATCGGTCCATTACTTTTTGAGTTTATGCGTTACATACAAAAATACAAATCTTTCCTCTTTATAATATTAGTATAGATTATTAAAAAAAAATTCGGTCACTTTGTTCTTGTACATTTTTTTTTAAATTTTATTTATACAATTGCAGTTAGGCTACTATGCCTCTAGCAGCCTCATATATTCGTAAAGAGATTCAAAATGCAAACAAGCAATTTTGGTAATTCACGTTAAAAATATTAGTTGAAAATTTAGAATCATCTGGTACTGTCGCAGGTTCGAGTCGCGCCTGTTTCATTAGGCTTTCGTTAAAATACCATCTCAAGTTAAATAAAAATGAATGTGTGGCGGTATTACAGATAATCGTAATCGTTATAGTAAGGGTTTTTGTATCCCGATTCACTTCGCAAAAATCGCGTTTAAAAGCTATAGAAACTTAATAAAACCTTCTCTTGAGTAATAATAGCGAACCGTCGAAAGAGGTTGTCAGGTAAAACGTGCCGCAGACCTTGACCTTACAATCAACCTTGTAGGCCGGCTGATGTGACGATATGCATATTTTAACCATATTTTTAAAAATAGTCTTTTATCTGCGGCAACCTACGGCTTTATACTAGTTGTTCCCCGCGACGATACTTTTAAGTTTTATTTGCAAAAGAAGTACGCGATTGGTACACATTTAAATAAAACACTTTAACGGTTTAAAACGCGAATGTGTTTAAACGCCAGTTTCGCCCAATACCAATTTTGACGGAGCGAAGCGCTATCGTAGCAGTTTTTTACTTCGACGTCAGATACACCCTCCATCTTTAGTCTCCCCGTGACCACGGCTGCTGCAAAGCATCCGTTGTTTTAAAATAATTTACAAATCAGTTGAATATATTATAACAAGTATATAAGTATATGTATATAGGGGTCAAACCGTTAAAGTGTTTTATTTAAAATTTGCTTTACGTTCGGTGCTGGAGGTTTGGGTTCATATCTCCATTCATTTAAATGGCCATAAAATAAATTAACTATATATTGCGACTATAGTTGCATTATTAGTAGCAATGTATGGCTAATAATAACCAACGGGTCGTGGGTTCGATCTCCACTGCGTCCAATATTATTCTAAAATATTTATAATTTTTCCAAAACATGTTGGACTTCGCCTGGAAATCTGGATATTAAAAGTGTAGTAGCAAAATCAAGAATTCCGTCCGGGTCACAATCCACCGTCCACAGATAAAAAGAAACGTCTACTTAAATCGATCTTTACGATTTCACTCTGTGAATTTTCGAAAATCCAAAGCCAAAATGGAGCGATAGCGCCCTTGATATTTGGGATGTTTACTTGCTTTAGACAGTCATGGTCACGGGGCGTATTAAAGGTAACGTAACAAATATCTATCGTTATCGTTAGAGTAGTTTTTCAATATCTTCTTTACTTGCGTAGGCTAAAAGCAGAAACGAAATTTTCGTTCAGTGAAACAAAAGCGTAGACGAAACGAAAATAAGTATGATTTCAATTGAGAAAGACTTGAATGTTCTATCAGTTACCGCACCACTGCTTTTAAATCCCCATGAGGGTTAACATGACAGGTGTCCTAGATGTTAAAAGGGTTAATAACATTTTACATTTACGCCATCGCTTATCCAGGATGCATTATTTATATTAACATTATAATCTACAAATAAAAAATTATAGTCATTGTAAAATGTGAATAATCAAGTGGAAATTCAATAATATTATTTCATTTGTAGATTCCCTATTTTATGAAAATGTGAGCTACGTTTAAATAAAACGCCGATAAAGTGTTTTATTTACATTTAAAATTATTTTAACTGGTCCGGGTCAGGCCGCAGTTAAAAGAATTTCTAATAAGTTTAACTATGATATATTGCGTTTTAAACCGTTAAAGTGTTTTATTTAAATGTTTACTACTCGCGTAAACTACAGACAGTGTTAATATATATCTAAAAAATATCTATAAGCATTTTAAACATTAATAAATTAACCTGATTTTATAGGCAAACTTAAAAAAAAACAGAACTTGTAATTTTCCATTCAGTAAGCTGTTTATAATATTATTCAAACTGATACACTATTTTTACACATTGATTGAATTTGAATATGAAAATTTATAGAGTGAAATATATTTATCGACGTTTCATCCACTGAATTTTCGTTTCGATCGTGACCTCTCCTCATTCATAACAGTCGGACTCCTTTTAAAACTGAGCTTCTAATGTGTTAATCTTCTTAAATACCAGAAAATTCACGAACTATTCTATAATATATGAGCTGCTTGAAGATAAAGTTAAGTCTTCCACGGGTAATGAATTGGGGTAGTTTGCAAGTTCATTTCGGCTTACATTCTTAAGTGATTCTGAGTACCCACCAGATGTGAATAAATAAAGTATCCGGTCTTTTGACCACATAGTAACTTATTAATATATAGGTATATGAATATTATATATTATTATAGATAAAAAAAATCTAATCTCAAGCAATCAAATACTGTCTATAGTTTACGCGAGTAGTACACATTTAAATAGAACACTTTAACGGTTTAAAACGCGATATATTAGTTAAACTGATTGAAAATGATTTTTAACTCCGGCCCGACGTTTCGGATGCTTTGCAGCAGGCGTGGTCACGAGGTCTCCCCGTCCCCGTATCGCGTTTTAAACCGTTAAAGTGTTTTATTTAAATCAAGCAATCAAATTAAGAAGAATACAGTAAGTTACTGGCTAATTGATCATTATAGAAATTAGAGCGTATATACAAACGTATAGCATGAATTTAATAATACCTCTTGCGCACAGCTAAATCATAAATTAGAGATGCAACATCCGTATATAGAACACGTTTAATTAAACACTTAATTGGAGACAATACTGCATTTATCTTAGGTTAGTTCTGATATCAAGCGTAATTCTATTTCTCGGAGCGTGAATTCCTTGTTAGTAAAGATATACTAATATTGTATAGCCGAAGAGTTTGTTTGAACGCGCTAAAATCGTCGAAAAAAATCTAGGAACTACTAGCTTCTATAAAACTATGAAAAAGCAAACATCTTAGAGCATGTGGTGAGAAACATTTTTAGCTAATATCTTAAAACATCACTCTTTACGCGATCCAATAGAAGCAAAGGTACACAGCTAGGAGCTATTGTACTTTGAAGTCGTACAAACGTGTTCCCAGGGCTCCTTTAAAGCACCGTAGAGGGCTGCTGGTGTGTTTAGTGGTTCTGGTCGGCTATAAGATTTACCCCACTCCCCACGTCACACTTGCCCCACGTGGGCGTGCATTAGGCATTCACAACATCAGTTTAAAAAAAAGGTCAGCCATTGTACAGATTAACAAAATATATTACTTACGGGTTTTATAACTGCAAAAGATTCCTTTGTCCTGACTGTTCCTTTTTTTTTCTCTTTTTATTATTACAGTACATAAATATAATTATAATTAGCTAATCCGACAAATGTTGTATTGTTGTTTGTCAGATTAATATTATTATATTGATACAACTCTAACAAATAATTTGTATCAATTCATCAATTTCAATAATGAATTAATGAACTTCGACCTCAATTTGAGTACCATAAAACGGCTCTGGCAAGTTAATCTTAAAACAGAAATTTCGCGGATATTTTATACTAGCTGAGTCAGCGACTTTGTACGCGTAGAAGAGTTCAACTCTATAAATTTAATTTGTTACCCAGGACGTCGTCCGCGTCCCGTCATGCTTGCAAGTTAATCTTACAAGATAGACATATTACACTGTTGGACGGACTTTTTTTAGATCATATAAAAAGGAATCATTCTTTCGTACATATTTTTTGAGTATCTTGCACCGTTTTCGCAGCGTACGCAACGAAAACTCTCAAAGATGAATATTTTTTCCCGTTTTTCCATCCACATTTCCCACCGTTTCTTCCTAGCATTGGTCCCGCCCTGATTTTTTATACCCAAAAGCCTTCCTTGATAAAAAATCTATTTAACACATTTTTTTGTATTCGAACCAGCAGTTTTTGAGATTAGCGTACCCAGCTAAACAAACAAATTCTTCAGCTTTATATAAGTATTGATTAAAGTAGAACAATAAATTATAGTAATGAATACAAATAACCCTACTTCCTATATATGTACCTATAGCATCGCGCTTTGCTTGCGTCCTTTCATATCTTATTCATACCTCTTCTAATCATATTTTAGTTCTTAAGACTTAGGAATTACGGTTCAAAATTCAATAATCTCCAGCTGACAAAATAAAACCGATTCCCTAACTGTTAACTTATAAATTTTTTTTTTTTTGCAGTACATCGGCACGATGGACGTCCCTCGACCGACCAGCCGAGTCGAGATTGTGGCTGCGATGCGTCGAGTTCGAGTAAGTTCGTCACCACTATCTAAATCAAAGTCAAAAATTATTTATTCACGTAGGTACACTTATGAACGTCAACTAAAGAATCTAACATTACATTTACTACCAGTTCTCAAACGGACCTGGGAACCGTGCACATTACCTTCCACTAGTTCAAACAACTTTTACGTGTTATTAGTATAATGTCATATCGTATTTCCTTTTACGTAACAACGTTATTTGTTTTTAGTACGAATTTAAAGCGCGTGGTGTGAAGAAACGCAAAGTGACCGTCGACGTGTCCACTGAAGGTGTACGTGTTAAAACACGTACCAAAAAGACCAAAGGAAAGGTAAGATTAATTTAAAAAATATAGACTTTGTGTAAATAAAATAAAGATAAACAATTTAAATAAAACACTTTAACGGTATAAAACGAGATATTATATTAGTTAAACATATTTGAAAGTTATTTTTGACTTCGGCCCCACGTGACCACGGCTACTGCAAAGCATCCGAAACGCCGAAGTTAAATAATCATTTTCAAATAAGTTTAACTAATATATCACGTTTTAAACCGTTGAAGTGTTTTGTTCAAATTGGTACTACTTGCGTAAACTATGGACAGTATTTAAATATACAATTTTTTGACAACTTTAATATTATTTAAAATTTAAAATTATGCCCGAGTCGTAATTGGTTTCTATTTATAAGTGATTTTTAATTTAATATACAATTGTTCTAATTACAAAAGAAAGTCATAAAATTTCTTCAAAGTCCCACCGCTGGACCTAGGTAGGAGAATGGTTTTAAGAGCTAATACCCACGACGCTGCCACTTTAATGGTTTTTTGACTACTGTTAACCGATAATATTTATTACAATATACTAAATTAGTTGTGGAAATCTAATTGAAAACAATATATGGCTAAAAATCAATGCATTCGATAAGTGGTTCAACGAGATTCTAATTTTAATTTTTTTGATACACTTCGTCTTCGTCTGAAAATTTAAAATTAAATGGCTACAAGAAATAACGAATATAGCGAATCACCAACCACAGATGAAAAAGAAGGCAATCTTGTTTAGGTTTCAGTAGTGTAACTGTAGATGTCCGAATATCCAAACCCAAAATTTCATCGACAGCGCTTCTTGTTAATATGTTATATAGCTGGGTTATTTTATCTTCTATCAAGCGAACTCTATGCTTGTCTGTCCTTCTCTATCATAAAAATTCATAACCATGACGGCTTAACGTGCTTTGGAAGGCGCAATAGGAATAACACGTATGTACTTCTAAATAGAAATTGAAATTTACCACCTTCCTGTTGTCAGATTGATCTGAAATTTGGTGCGCACATTTAATTTAGATGCCAATACAATATAACAAAATCAATATTATTATAAATCCAAGATGGCCGCCGATACAAAATGGCGGATTACATATTTTTCCGTAACCCCCTCAATACGGATATCAAATGAAAGGACTACACTAGTAAACACGACGATTATGTCAATTTTTTTTGTGGTTTTACAGTGCACAAAAATTAAAACTGTTTAAGGTAAAAGTTTTTTTTAAGTTGATATTTGTTATGATAAAGGAGGACATATGATTTTTCTCGTCTAGACTCGTCTATGTCTCCCTGTGACCACGGCTGCTGCAGCGCATCCGAAACGTCGGGCCGAAGTTAAAAAAATCATTTCCAAATAAGTTTAACTAATATATCGCGTTTTAAACCGTTAAAGTGTTTTAATAAATGTGTACTACTCGCGTAAACTATAGACAGTATTTTACTATATTATTACTAAAAATACTACCGCTACCGATAGGTGGTTAATATTAAACACAGCTGTAATACTAGTTCTTCTGTTAGACACTTCAGAAAGTATTTGTCTCACTCCATCAACGTCAAGGGCCATATTGTTACCGTCTTACCAATAACTATTGATTTCTGAATCAAGTTACCTCGCTCGAACTCATACGTATTTGAGGTTTTGGACTGAAAATTTTTTTGATAGAGGCCAACCACACATGACGTCCTCTCGATGGAGGGATTACCTCCAGCCATATTACGTGTAAACAAAATGCACTGTCAACCTATTATGGCATTGGGGATTAGACTTCACAGTTTCATATATGACTGGTGGTTGGGGACCCGGTCGAAATATCGATATTCCTACCCCCGATTTAATATACAAATTCCAGATGATGTTCAGTATATTTAAGAACGGGAATTGAACCCAAGACCCGTTGATTTTTGTCTCTACATTGCGACCATTAATCGCCCGTCAATTACACTTATGAATCTAAAGAATATACATCAATATAACCGTCCGATTGTTCATCTTTTTTTTTTTCATTTAATATTTTAATACAAGAGTGACGTATGTACATAATACTTTAAGAGCTGTACTGTGTCTGGGCTTTAACCCTTACTTAAATTAGTTCCATTTATTTTAGAGTTCGAATTATTTATGACTACAATAATCGCATTTACAAATATTTCACACGCACTAAATAAGATAATATTAACGGTCTAATACTGAAAATAACGGTCTAAAACGTCTAAACGTCTAAAACTGAAAAAAACCAGGGGTTACAATGTTTGATAATAATAATAATAATTTTAGTTATATATTTCTCATTTAGATAAAACACCGTAACGATTTAAAACGCGATGTATATTAACTAAACTTATTTGATTTATTTTAACTACGGCCCGACGTTTCAGATGCTTAGCTGCAAAGCATTCGAATGTTTAAGTAATATGTATCGCGTTTTAAACCGTTAGTGTTTTATTTAAATGTGTACAACTCGCGTAAACTACTGATAACATTTATATATTTCTCGTTCGGTATGTGTCGTTAAAATCTCTCCCTGAAAAATGTTTTTCCTTAAGCGACACTGAAAACATCACGTTTTTCATCATTCCCTATTAAAAGATGTAAATGAGATTTATCCAGCATTTTAATAGTCTGTGGTAATTCGTGTGCTCCTGCTCGAGCAAGCAGTTTTAACGAATAGTACAACAGTTCGCGAAGTATGCACGTGGTTTTCAAACTAACGAGGGGATAGGGGACAATTCTTAACTACGTGACATAAGTCGAAAACAACAAAGCGACGTGTTGTTCCATGTTCATTTTTTATTATCGATTTTATTTACTTGTATGTGGGGGATCATGCTTCTATTCACGACTTTATCACGGGTCGTGGATTTGATTTCCATCAGGTCTAACATGTTTTTAAAACACGTTAGTTTTCGTCTGGAAAATGTTGATAGTAAATGGGTAGGTTAAAAGCCATTAAGTGTTTCGCCTTTAGTCTAAGGATATCCAAATGTTTAAAGCCAAAATAGTTTGACAACATATCTAATTATATCTATAATCTTGTGAGTAAACGTTACCCCCCCCCCCCCCCCACGTTAGCGGATTTTAACACTTCAATCAAGTACCCGTTAGAACGACTAAATAAAATTTCAGCACGACATATTTTTGTTCTGGTATTTGTCATGTAAATAAAACAGTCGCGTGGTATGTCATTCATATTTATCCGCTCCTTCGGGATTTTAACACTCAAATACGCGGCTGTATAAATCTGCTTGCTTCCAAATGCCGAAGAGACGATGCATGTTACTCAACCGCCTTTTGTTTGTTTGGGAAATACGTTTATTATATTTTGTTTGTTAGCACATCGATAAAATGTCTTTAAGTATACTAGAAATGAAAGTGTTTAGAGAGGCATTGGACAAAGATTTATGCCCTTACAGTCATTTGTTTTTTTTCCCTGCCCTTGTGTTTTTTATTACAGAGTACAGACAAACGTAAATTTAAAGGAAAGTAAAATACCACAGCTCGTACTTTTTTAGATTACTTGGCATTGACCGTAGTTTACGCGAGTATTGAAATAAATTTAACTGTTTAAAACCCGAAATGTATTAGTGAAACTTATTTACAATTTATTTTAATTACGGACCGACGTTTCTGATGCTTTGCATCAGCAGGCGTTTGACCCTAGCTAAAGTAAATTGTAAATAATTTCTACTAACTTCTTCTGTTTTAAACTTAATAAAACTTAGTAAAGTAGTAAAGGTTACATTGGAAATTAGATAATCCGTCCAAGCTGTGTTATCATTTACGTTTACATAGAAACGTTATAAATGACAATCTTTATCATGTTGGACCATTGAGCCAACAAGCTCGTCATAATTCAAGCGAAAAATATTCTAGGTATGACAGTCATCTTTGACTTTTTATATTAAGTGAATTGTTTCCAGTTGTTAAATGTTTGTCAACTAGCGTGACAGTTGTTAGTTTAAAAGTAGTATATTTTCGCGCAGCATTATATTTATGTAGCTTACTAATTTTTTTTAAAACTCAAATTCCAAATAATGTTTATTCGTGTATATCAAGCACCGCGGTCCTATTTTAGCTTTGGATACTCTAAAATCCGCGGCCTGAAACCGAAACGTGATATAATATCACGCTCTTTTGTCTGTGGACGGTGGTTCGTGACCCGGACGGAATTTCGATATTCCTACCACCCATTTGATATCCAGATTTTCAGACGAAGTCCAACATGTTGCAGAAAAATTATAAATAGATTAGAAAAATGTTGTTAACCATACATTGCTGTCACCAACGAGTACGTCAAATTATACGTTTTGATCATTTCAATAATTTTCCTCCGATGCTAATCAAGCATTTTTATTACAGAGCCCATCATCAAAGCTCTTCGGGCGCAAAAGAACAACGTGCGAGGAAGCCATAGAACTCATGCACCACCCAATATACCGCATATTCTACGTTTCCCACGACAGCTCCGACCTGAAGATCTTCTCTTACATCGCTAGAGATGGCGCCACTAACGTATTCAAGTGTAGTGTCTTTAAAAGCAGCCGTAAGGTCAGTATTTTTTTTTAAACCTTTAGATGACAACGATTTTCTTCTTACGTGAATAGAATTGAAACATACAACACAATATAAACAAGTAAATTACTAACAAACGTGTTATAACTGTATTAAATAAAAAGTAAAATCAAACAGTGAAGAAATACAACAATACGGTCGCCTAATAGTTGCCTGCAGTTGCCTACAAAATTGACAATTCGGTTTTTAGAATATATTTTCTCTAAGAATATACACATTCACTTAACGAGAAAAGAATGATTTTAAAACGCATTTAAACTGCATCGGACCCATTTTTACGAGATTTTAAATGATAAAAGGATACAAATAAATTGACTTATTCCATTATAACATGATAAAAATTAATGTCCCACTGCTGGACACTGTTTCTTCTCCCCTGTGAGTGGACTTTAGATATAAGACTTTCTCCCCTGAATTAATAATGTACTAAAATTAATGATGTTCCGTGACCAGTTGTCACAGAAGTTCGGCAGATTCGTTGGTGTTATAATAGCAATGTATGACTGATGATCAACGGGCTGTGGATGAATCACCACCGGGCCGGAAACATGTTGGATTTTGTCAGGAAATCTGGATATTAAATGTGTGGTAGGAATATCAAAATTTTGTCCCGGTCACGAACGATCGTACACAGATGAAAGATCTTCAATCGCGTTTCGGTTTCAGGCTGTCGATTTCCGATGCAAAACCAAAATGGGTCGACAGCGCAACAGATGTTATTTGGCTGGGTTGTTTCACCTACCATCAAGTGAACAACATGTTTGCCTGTCATCTATCATAAAATCTATCTATCATAATATAAAATTTATGCTAATCCGGGGTTATGCCCTAGTAATACCAGTCAAGTGTGTTCTCTATCTATCTAGATCAACCAGGAGAACTGTTAACGTTTTGCTTAAAATTTTCGACGATAAGCAAGTTAATCAACATCTCTTGGTTATTCCCTAGTTATAAATTAGCTCCCGTAAAGCATTTCATTCCGGCAATAAAACTGATTTATCTAGCTTTTGTTTTACACCGTTTTGTTAATAAACGTCTTGGCCCAAACTATTTTCGTCCACAATTCGTGTCATTTGAACACGTCAAGATCAGATGAACGGTGGATTGTTCGGAGTCTTATTAAATAGAGAATCTTATAATAATAAATAAATAAAGAGAGAATCTTATAATAATAGTGACTATAACTTTTAGCTAGGTTAATTTTACTCGTAAAATGAAAGCCTTTTAAAATAAATAACTAATAGACCGTCAAAATTACTCTCGCACGATCTATTCTATAGAATTAACTAGGTACGCGAATTTCGTATATTAATCTTTATTTAGTTATTTTACGTTTCATATTTTTTTATCCCGTATTTTAAGGACCACAGCTAGACAGTAAAATTAATACATAGTGCCTTTATTTTGTTTTATAGTAACAATGGTAATGGTTAATGAGCTTCCGTTAATAATCATAAAAAAATACAAAATAAAATATGAATATAATACCTATTTCTGTTTACTTAGTCATTGGTACGGAACCTTCCGTTCATAAATTCGACTCGCACTTGGCCATTTATAACCAAATACCCTTAATTCATTAGTGTGAAATGATTTGTCGAACAATTTTGTATCTGCGTTAAAGCTCGTCAGTTGTTCTAGATTCGTTAGAGTAATTAAGCGGTTAAACATAATCAAATTAACTGTTTTATTCATGATATTATTACTAATAATGTAGTTGTCTGTCCGTCCCTATGTATGCTTAAATCCTAAAAAGTACGCAACGGATTCTGAAGCGGTTCTTATGTATAACATGTGCATAATATATTTTTAGAATTTTATTAATTATTATTATTGGAAAAACAATCCCGCGTCGTCCTTATCCAATTAAGTACAAATTTAATATAAATCAATATGGACTTTTATAAATATGGGTAATTTAATTAAATATTTCTAAATATATCACAGATTAAAAATGCAAGGGCATACATACCTGCACATACGTTGTTTGTAACACAATTGTGGACAATCTTTAGTAGGTATATTTAGTATATGCATATACCAAATATTTGTAATCCTTTTTACGCTGTGTGTTTGTTGATCGTGGTTAAATAGCCCAGAAATAAAATCACTTCTTATAATATGTACTTTATATCATATATAATAATGTTTCTGTATTGAAACAAGACGCCCTTAATTTCGGAACTGGTAGAAAATGTTAATTTTTTGTAATTTTTTTTTTATTAATGCGAATTTTAACATTTCATTTATAATCCAATAAAAGCCAAAATATAATTAAGAGATAGGAGAACAGACAAGTAGGGAACTGGTTTGAATGTGAAATACCCGAAAATATAAAATCTAAAAAATATGCGTTATCGCCCTATCTAGGCTTTGATTATTTAGAAATCTTTTTCCTTCTTTTTTAAAAATATCTAATCTATTGTAGAGAGAGGGCGTCTAACAGACATTAGACACATATTGTAAAACTCAGCTCGTGAAAGAATGACGCCATTTTGTTTTGTAACCTTTGTCACTAATGGTGTTTTAATGTATCCCAAGGGTAATCTAAAGTTATAGAGGCGTTTACGAGTTGTTGAAGGTTTTCCTTCTAATCCCTTTGAGACAGCGGGCCGTAGCATGATTTATGCGGACACAAATATATGTTTTAATTGGGATTAGATAACGACCTCCGTAAATTTGTCTGTGACTATGTTATATACAACTACAGCCGTGTCAGCGACTTCATCCGCGTAAAATAGTTATTTTCGTCATCAAAATATTTTTTTTTCCCGTTTATTTGTTTACTTTTCCCGCTGTTTCTGTTCGTATTAATTGCTGCGCGCTGTTTTATTGTCGTTCTCGATAAGTATTCTAAATAACTAACACAAAAAATTGAAAAAATACCAATTTGAACAAGTAGTTCCTGAGTTTAACGGGTTCAAACAAACAAACTCTTCAGCTTTATATATTGGTATAGATTTGTATTTAAGTAACTTTTTTACCTTTACTTTGATATTTTCCCCCGTCTCTTTAGAAGCATAAGTGCTTAGAATAACACGTTAAGTCTAAACACAGATCAACTAAGTACTTGCATCTGAAACAGACATACAAATGTCTGTCCCTTGCATAGGGGTATGGGATTTAAAACGCGCAGCTAGTAAAAAAATATTGTTACCAGACATTGAGTATGTAAATGAATCTGTAACATGTTTTAATCAAACCCGACTGCTCCAAAAGGTTTTACGCTCGTAAAATAAAATATGACCACCAACTGTTACAGTGACTGTGTAAATTTGGCTTCTAAATTGATCGGTAAAAAGCATGTTGTTCTTCTTCTTCCTTAAAAATCTAAATGATTAAACTGTCTTGATGTTTATGTAAAACAGGACTAATCCTATACTGTCTATAGTTTACGCGAGTAGTACACATTTAAATAAAACACTTTAACGGTTTAAAACGCGATATATTAGTTAAACCAGTTTCAATAGCATCGTGACGTCACATATTTTGTCTTTGTCGATCTATATAAAATAAGAGAGTTATAAAACATAGGTTTTGGACCACTGAAGGTGATAAAAAAATCCTTTAAGATTAAGCTTCGACCTTGGAATTCTGTCTCTAGACTTTAGCTCGTAACTTTAAGAATAATCACTCATGATTCCAGGTAAGACGTCGCACACAAGACATCATATTTTATTCTTAAACGTTGATTTAGCTGTCTAGATCCGCCAAACATCTATTCTTTACGGCGTTAAATTTTCTTAGTTATACACAAATAAAACAAACGTTTTAGTTGTGTGAAGATCGTATAAAAAAACGTTGTTTAACTGTTATCGTGGTTTCTATGGTATTAGGAATAGGTCTGAGATTCGATAACGGTAGAAAAACCAAATTACAGTTAAATCTTTTAAGCGTCCGTTGTAATGTGATGCATAACAAGGAGATAAATATATAAATAGAACTCAATATTAGTGAAATGTATGTGGGACACTAAAAATTTCCCGTGTAGTGTTCGCGTTAACTTCGCAAAATACTTGCATGCATGGAAAGACAGGAATTGATGAGTCCGTCTACTAATAATCTATTAAGAATAATAAATGATCATTTTGTAGGCGCATCTAGTAATTGTATTTTATGTCTTGGGCTGAATAAAAATAGCCGTTTTTTACGTGATATCGCAATCCTAAAGATCATTCGTTTCTGTGACGTTTTGGAGAGCCACATTTATTTACTAGCAAATAATAAACTATAGATCAAAGAATTGCTCGCAATTTCTTTGGAAAATTCCACGCTGAATTCATTTCCTATTTATTCGTTCTATCGCTGTTCGGGGGTGGAAACCTGTATAAATTTGTGGCAACTAATTCTCGTATAATAACCTAACCATAAGCTTGTGAGGGTCGTCCACACGTTTTAGGTTTTATGTAGCTAATTCTTGATATTAAATAAAATGTAATATAGATAAATAATATACTTTAAACTAGTGCAGTCAGAGAATAGAAAAGGGACTCTTTAATCGGTGTTAAACGTGAATTATATCAGTTAAATATTTTTATCTGGTTACCTGTGATTCAGATGCATTATTGACCGAGGTACCTAGTGGCCACGGCTGGAATAGAATTAAATAACTGATGTAGTGCACGTTTCAAAATGTTAAATTGTAAATTACAAAATATGATTCTAATGTCATTTTATTACAACTGTTTGCGTCATGCGTGTTCGTGTTTGAAGTTTGATACATTCAATATGGTTATCTAAATTAATAAAATGGTACAACATATAGTTACTTACAACACTCATATCTGTACTTATATATAAAGCTGAAGAGTATGTTTGTTTCTTTGTTTAAACGCGCTAATTTCAGGAACTACTGGTTCAAATTGAAATATTTGTGTTGTTTAGAGAGTTTTCGAGGAAACCTATAGCCTGTAAAACATCGCGCTGTGACTAATAGTATAAAAGAAATAGCGGAAATTGTGGAAAAAACAAGGGAAGTCATTCACGTCTGTAGGTTTTCCATGCGTACGCTGGGAAAACGGTTCAAGGTACAAAAAATATGTACGAAATAATGATTCTCCTTTAAATGATCTAAAAAATACGCGACAGTTTATGTCTATCTTATAGCGAATAACAGCTTAAATTTATAAAGATGAAACCTCCTCCTCGGTTTGGATGCCCAAAATAACTGTTCTACGCGGACGAAGTCGCTGACACAGCTAGTTCATTATAATGTTCAAGGATCTTATAATGTTCGTAGGCAATAAACTTGCCATTGTATCAAACTTAGCCTTTCGATATCTTCTCGGAATGGTATTTATACAACAAAGAACAATTCTTAAGACTCCTATGCAACTTATCGATGCTTCGCAAACAAGGAGGTCTTAATAGTTTATATATTATAGAATCTCTTTTCTATTCTTGGTTTAATAAAAACTCAGTTTGTAGTAAGTACGCCTACATCTTAACTGCAGAATTAAAATCTATTAATAATCTAGCTTTATATCTGAAAATCTAATTATTCTAATTCTAGGCTATTTCTGGTGTACGAACGGAATTTTAAAGTTCCAACGTGTTTTTATAATTATATTATAAGATTATTATTGTATTTAACGAGTCTATAGATCCTTGTTATTTGCGTCCATTCCAGTTAAATGTGACGTCACGGCGAGCCTTCAAATTGTAGCACGAATTTCCCATTTTCATTGCCTGTATATTTTGAATTTGACTAATTTATCGCCGTTTAGTGTAAATACGACGCTTATTTGTTATCACTCTTGAAATAATAAATACTATTGCGTACTCAGATACGTTACGTAATACACTACTTATCTCCGCCCAAGTATTTTAGACTTTTGACATAAACACACCATTATACTAAAAATAACAAAAACTTTGAAATATGTTTTTTTTTAACTAACATTTTTCACATGACTAACATATGATGGCACTATATAAATTAAAAGTAAATTTTGAAACAGTAGCTCAATTGGTCATGACCACGGACCACTGATGCTGGTTTGAGACCTGCCCGTGTGTTCTTTCGCGCCAAAATTGATTGTTAATTCATGATTTTCTATACTTCAACCAAGAAAACGTATTTTAAATCTTGATTAAATTACTAAAATGACTATTAAAAATAGGTGTGATATAAAGGTAAAAATGTACGGTAGTAAGTATTTCTTAAAGCTACATTATAAAATAACAAAAAGAAAAAATTTTGTCCCAAGAAATAAAAAAAACGGTCAAGGATGAACAACCCTTGTCACTTAGGGCCGATTCTCAGACCTATTGAATATGCACGCAAAATTTTGGTCTAGCCGTTTCGGAGGAATAAGTCAGCTAACACACGAGAATTTTATATATTACATTATTGTCTTAATTATGTTCAAATAATTATCAACTATTGGTAAACAGTTTGTTTACCCCGAGGCGTGCGAAATTTATTATATATTTATAAAATTAGAAATTGAAATTTAAACACCTGTCCCGTTGTCAGATTGATGTGAAATTCATGAAGAAATGACAACACAATATAATAAAATCAAAAACATTATAAATCCAAGATGGCCGCCGATACAAAATGGATGGAAGAATGGATTACATATTTTTCCTTAACCCCTCAATATGGATATCAAATGAAAGGGCTACACCGGTAAAACACAATGATTATGCAAATTGAAATGCAATTGTCATTTTTTTTTAGTTTTCAGTGCACAAAAAATAAATACTTGTTTTTATACTTGTGCAATAGTTTCCCAGTAAATAATACGGGCTCATAATTATCTTCACCTCTCTTTGTATCTTTTTTTTGAGCGCAGTATTTATAGACCAAAAAAAAATCGGGACGACGTTTGTATTGTTTCCAAAAGAATCGGAAAAAATTAATTAGCTACCAATTATACGTTTCTAAGAAGAATAATGAAATACGGGCAATACTTTGTTTGGTATTTTTAGATAAACTTATTATAAGAGACTGAATAAATAAGAAATTTCAAAAGAAATATGTAGACAATAATTTTTATTAACAAACAATAACTTCACTACAGTAAAATAAGAAGCATAAAATAAATGTGCTTCATACAAAGTAACAGTTCAATAGAAATTATGTACTGAAATACTGTCTGTAGTTTATGCGAGTAGTACACATTTAAATAAAACACTTTAAAACGCCATATATTTTAGTTAAACTTGTTTGAAAGTTATTTTTAACTACGGCCCGACGTTTCGGATGCTTTGCAGCAGCCGTGGTGCAGCAGTTTCACCGTGACCATATAATAACGTGACCGTAGTATAGTCGCTAGGAGATAAGTCAATATATTTTTTATAATGGGACCAGAGCGGTACATATTTTCTTTAAAACAAAACCAAAACGACGGAGTTACCAGACATAAAATATAAAATAAAAAAGCATATGATTATAGAGGGTAGTAGTTCCATTTATGATGAATTGTTTAATCTTTGTAAGATTAAATGATTGATCATAACTGGGGCTACCATTAAAGCCAACCATTCGCACTGAATGGTGGGAGGTGGTGAGTGGTGGGTCTTTTTTACGATAGAGGATGCCAGATTCCCCAGACGAAGTTCAACAGATATCAGAAAAATTATAATTTTATTAGAAAATATTGGACCCGGTGGGGATCGACCTACGACCCGTTGATTATTAGCCGTACTTTGCTACCATTTCACCGACGAGCCCGTCAATTATTCCCAGCGGTGGGACCAAAAACACAGCGCAGAGCTATTGGTTACATGATACAACAAATAAAGACTAATTTGTAAGCAAATAGTATAACACTGTATATTACGAAATAACGTTAAACCCCGTATTGTTCACGAATTCGCGCTTTCATCGACAATATATTTTCATTTTCACGAACACTCGATATTTCATTTAGGAGGTTCCTTTTACGCATTTAAGCTGTTCGAATCGAAACTCGTCACTGGCGATATTTTTAGACTTCCGTGGATATTAAAGATATATATGATTAAATAAAACACTTTAACGGTTTAAAACGCGATATATTAGCTAACTACTCGCGTAAACTATAGACAGTATTTGATATGATGATATAGACTTTTTATCAGTCAATAGTTTGGTTTTATGTCATTCGGATTGCGTTTGACTCAATCATTTGACTCGGCCCATAGCGTCAGTTTTAATACAAGTTAAGAATTTGCCGACTGTTAGTCGCTTTACTCCATTTCTTTGTAACTTATTCTATTTCTTTGTAGCTACAAAACATTTTTTCACGTAATTGCTAGTGCTTTTAAGTACTATCTATAGTTTATGTGAGTAGTTCAAATTTAAATGAAACACTTATTTGTAAAACATCAAATTTTTAGTAAGTTAACTAATACACTTCGCATTTTACGCCGTTTAAAGTGATTTGAATTAAATGTTTTTTATTCACATTAATATCAGCTTAGCCTCAATTTAAAAAGAAAAAGTAAGATATCCAATGTGAAACTATCTCTCTCTAGCGAAGTTTTAAAAGGGAACCCTGTTACTAGAACTTCGTTGTCTGTCACTAGACTGTATCTCCAGTATCCCGATAGTTTATATATTTATGTTGTCGCATAATACTAAATTATTAAATCTTAAGACTCATTTCACCGTACTATCATTCAATATATAATGTATTTTGCTGAACCTCCTTCTGTCCTACTCATCTTGTTTAAATCTACGAAGAGCTAAAAGTACAATATTCTTCCTGTCTCTTTCAATATATTTACAAAAGCAGATAAACCAAACCAACACGACGATAAATTATTAACACCGTGTACCATGATAAAGATATTTCTGTTGCCAATGTCTATGTCATGTTCACGCGTAATATCGGAGGTGGGAATACTGTTGTGTTTATTTGTGGTCGGGACGCGTGGCCGACCGCGTTCAGTACACCGCGCGGAGGACCACGGAACACCGCGCTTACAGCACCGCGCGTTCACCACATGTGCCCCTATCATGGCCAACGAAGACAAACGGAAGAACGAACACACGTTAAAACACCTCCCGGCGGAAGTACTCCACAAAGCGCGGAACACCCTCTTCTCCATAGGCGCGCTCAAATCAAAAGACCGACAGAAGAAAGACACGAAGAGCAAGAAAGAAAGGCTGAAGAGCAGCCGATCGGAACCGGAGTTTGATGATCGCAAGGTGAAGCACAGGAGTCGGATTGACGATTTTCCAAGAGAGTACAGACCTAGGCCTCTATCGGTTGGCGCTAAAAGATATGAAGATGAATATCACTCCAACAGTGTACCAAAGGACGTGTTACATAGACGCTTTGATTCAAACGATGAGATCTACGTTCATTCACGGCTTGTTCTACCAATGGATAAGCCAGATGCAAATCACGATGAAAGACCGCGGAAGAAACTATCGTTTCGTGAACCGGAAATAGTTGGTGGTAGTGCTACTTTAGGAAGATCCAGCAAACTGATGGGTGTAAATAGTTTGACACGACGAAATAGGGCATCTATAAGGAATGAGCATTCTAGTTTAGAAGGCATTGATTCGGATTTAGAGGTGAGTTGGTGCATTTGTTTGTTTGATTTAATTTTAAAGTTGATAAAAATTAAATTTGGCGTTAAAATTCACAGCGTACTCATTGGGTGTCCAACAAAAATATTGTCTTAACAATACTATGTAATGCAAATTTAAAAACCGAACAAAAATCTTACTGCTAAGTTGGACTTTATGTATGGACAAAACAAAAAAATATATATTTATCATAGTTTACATATTGATCAAATAATAATGAATTTTTTTGCACTTTTTAGGAGCTATACTAAAAACTCATATTGGTAACATCCACATACAATACACCCACAGCTGGGCGAGAGTTTCTTCTCCAAAAGGAGAGAGAGTGTAAGAACTTAGACCCACCACACTGCTTCAGTGTCGTTTAACGAACCACCATTAAATAATTATTGATGATATTATCACACCTCTACTCCTAAACTCCAACCTTGTACCAAGATAGTTGGTTACATTAGGCAAATATAACTAGTTCGTGTTCAATACAAATCTAAACTAATATTATAGAGCTAAATAGTTTGTTTGTATGAACGCGCCAATCTCAGGAACTACTGGATTAACATTTTAAAAAAATATTGTCCGCTGTTGTAGTTCATTTATCGAGAAAGGCTAAGAGGACAGACAGAGGGAAATTAAAAAAAATACTGACAAAATGATGAATATTTAAGAGATTTCGTTGTGTGCATACATTATATTGTATTTAAATTCTTCTTTAAATAATCAAAAGAATATCCAGTGACAGTATAAGTCTATCTTTTCAGATTAACTCACGAGAACCATTTTTAAGTAAATCTCGTCAAAATACTTCATAGGGCAAAAACACTTGCCAGGTCCGCTAGAAGTTATATATTATTAACGTTACAAAGTTATCGTTTTGGCAAGTCCACAGTGTGTTTATAGGCGTCCCATGCGACTGCTTAGGAGAACAGCGTTCAACCGTTTAATTATGCCTGCTCACTGACAAATATTTTACTCGACAAGTGGAGCGTGATTATTCTATCGCTCTAAATACTAACTAGAAACTGCCACGACAATTAAATAAGCATTTTAATTGCGTTGAAAATTAACGGGTGTTATGATGGTGTATGAATTCAAAAGCGTTGTGTTTATGCAATAGAATGCACAGACTACAGTCGCCGGCGCTGTTTTTTGAGTTCTGTACTCTATTGTAAAAGGAACACCATTTAAAAAGAATTTCAACAAATGATATCTATATATTTATAAACCTAGCTGTAGCCGCGACTTCGATTAGAAATGTTATTTGGGACATCAAAATTTGTTTCCAAACCTACTTCTCATATTGATAATTATAGCTATTACCTACGATGTCTTTCGGGTCCCGTCGTTCTTGCAACTTAATCTTAAGAGATGGACATATATTGTGTTTCCCGACATTATTTTTTATATCATTTAAAGGGGAATCATTATTTTATATATATTGTTTTGGTGTCTAAAATTGTATTCGTAGCGCAATGCAACGGAAACCCTCAAAGATGAATAATTTACCATATTTTTCACATTTCCTATTGTTTCTCCGCTCCTATTGTTCTCAGCTTGGTGTTTTAACCTAAAGCCTTCCTCGATAAATGATCTAAACAACCCAAAAATATTTTCTCATTTCAAACCAGTAATTTCTGAGGTTAACACGCTCAAACAAACAAACTACAATATATATTATAATATAATATAAATATAGATTTAAAATTAAGTAAATATTGAAGGGAGATTTACACACAAAAGACGTAATTTTAGCTCCATATCAAAAAGACGAAATATTTAGTAATTTTACGGAACTCATCGTACGAGAACCCGAAGTGTGAGTGACCCGCACTATTACGCGCCCAAATGGAATTCTGAACCAATTCCTTACTTCTAAATGAGTAATATAGGCCGTTCGTATCATATTAATTCCTTATTCCTTTGTTTTTAGCCCAAATAGAGAACAATAGAAATGATTTAAAGGTATCGTAACACAATACCGACAAAGAATGTTCACAATAACAGCTCGCGATCAAAGTTCATTAATTTGCTTCCTTTGATTGGCCATTTATGTTTACTAGCATTACCTTTGAGCTATTAAAGCGAGATCGATTTCAAGAATTGCTTCTAATAAATCCGGGTAATTATGTCAACATTGGTTGTGTATGCCAAACTATGCCACAAGTGTGAAATAAAGTACTACTACTGTAATAAGACTGTGCTCAGGCAGTGCAGGATCGTTCTCCGGTTCAACTAAATTATATTTTTCCACATTAATACGTGGTCTGCTGTGAAAACAGAAAATTCTACTATTTTATTTAAAAAAGGAAAATAAATAAAAAAGAATTTGACTCGGGCAGGACTTGAACCGGTAGGTAGAGTAACAGCACGGAGCGCTGACAATGCCGGTTCACGTACTGCGGTAAACAAAATCGGAAAGTATCATTCTAGATACATGCACATGTTAAAGAATAAAATTTTGCGACATATGTCATCTTCCATTATATGGCCGTGTGGTAAACTATCTCCTAGGACCCATAAGGAACGGCCGAGTCCCACAAGTGGGAAGTGATGTAGGGCTGTAAATATTTTACTGCCAATGCATCTTTCGCCAGCGAATCCCCAATAAAGGTGATTAAAGTTGGACCCACTGATGCCAAGGGTAATACTTCAATCGTCACGTTATTTAGTAAACTAAGTCGGTCACGAAAATGTCCGGTCCACGCCCCACATAAGAAAATCCGAATTTTATTCGGTTCTCGAATTGGCTTTTTAATTTTAACCACGTTAAATTGAATATATGTATATAGAGACAAGCCCCACTTGATATCTAAACAAGACGCGCTGCCAACGTATTTAGGCTTTGGATATTCGGAAACCGAAATGCGATTAAACTTGACGGATGTTTCATTTGTGGACTGCAGTTCGTGCCCATACAGAATTTCGATATTGATATCACGCATTTAATATATAGATTTTCAGACGAACTCCAACATGTTTCGAGAAAATTATTATTTAATTAGAAAAATCTTGGACCCGGAGGGGAACTCACATCGTTCATTAGTAACGATACATTGCATGCGTCAGAATGAACTAATAAATTACGCGTTTGATACCGTTAATGTTTAAATAAAACACTTTGACGGTTTAAAACGCGATATATTACGAAACGTCGGGCCGAAGTTAAAAGTCATTTTCAAATAAGTTTAAGTAATATATCGCGTTTTAAACCGTTAAAGTGTTTTATTTAAATGTGTACTACTCGCGTCAACTATAGACAGTATTTACCGTTAATGTTTTAATTAATTCAAGTGAATTAAACGCTATACCATGTGTTAAAAAGTTTTAAATTAATAAAGAAACTTAAAATATGAAGTCAGTGATTAGTATAGAGCAACTTGACAAGAGAATTTACATTCTTATTGATCAACTTTGGAGCGAATTTAACAATTCATTTAAGCCCATAATTATGCAAGCTTAGTATCAAGAAATTTAATTTCTCGCGTTTCAAATTTCTATATCGTATGAGTTTTGCAGCACTAATTACGAAGTTGGAGTATTTTGACAGACAAGTATGGACTTTAATGCAAGGTGAAACCAGGCCTATAAAGTCTGAACTTTAAAGACGATAATTTCTGTGAGAGGTGCCACGTTGACCTAATTTGACTAATTCAGATATTTAAGGATGGAAACCTAATGGCTGACTATGCCCAATTCAATAAAAAAGATAAGAAAAAATAAAATAATATTTTAGTAAGGATGGATACTGATCGACGGAATTTGGATATTACCACCATACTATCCATTTGATATCCACATTATCAGACTAAGTCATGTTCAATGAAAATTATAAATTGATAAAAAACATGTCGGGCCCGTTGATTATTAGCTGTTAGAAGTGTTTTACAGTAAACATACATACGTACACCCATACATATATACATGTGATACAGTATTGACTGTCCAATCTTTATAATAATATTATGCGCAAGATTCTGACGTTCACGGAACTTGAGTGTATTTGGGGGCGGCTAAATATATCCGTAAAAAATAGATAGCAAGGAAAACGCATTTTCATTTTGCCGTTGTTCTGGCATCGAGTTAGTTTAATTGGATTTTTTGGCAGAAAAAGATAATGACTGAATTCTTAAACTAATGAAGAATGGAAAGTATTTTTCATTTGTAGTACTTAATGTCGGCATTCGATTTATAAAACTAAGAGTCAAGGAATTAAAACGGACTTGGTACATTATATATTGTTATAATAATGATGTTATTTCAGTAAGCCTTATTAAATAAATAAATAAATACAATGATTTTTATCATGATAAGTATCACATGAGTATGTGCATGAGAGCTTATAGGTACATTAGTTTAAAAATAATTATATTTAAATAAAGCGCTTTAATCCTTAACACGTAATATAAAACGTATTTTTTTACGGTTTTATTTACTTTAGATTCCGTTTAGACTCGTACGGAATTTATTTATTTGGGTCAAAATTAGAAATTAAAATTTAAGCACCTTCTCGTTATGAGATTGATCTGAAATTTGATACACACATTTAATTCAGATGACAAAACAATATAAAAAAATCAATAACATGGCAAATCTAAGATGGCCGCCGATACAAAATGGTGGATTACATATTTTTTCTTCACCCCCTCAATATGGGTATCAAATGAAAGAGCTAAACTAGTAAAACACGATGATTATGTTATTTTTTGTAGTTTTCAGTGCACAAAAAATTAAACTGTTTAACTTAATTTTTTTTAAGTTGATACTAATTGTATTTACTCAACAATAGTGTGCAGACGGGTCCGCGAAACTTGAAGCGATGATTCGCGCGACTCCATTGTTCACATACTGACTTTTGTTTCGCCGGTCGCCGCTGTATATTTTGATCGTATACATACACTAGCTGTGTTAGCGACTTCGTCCACGTAGAATAATTTTGGGCATCAAAGTTTGTTTTTGCAAACCTCTTTAACTTTAGGACGATGTCCGCG